AGGCGCGGCGCTCACTCAGGACAACGACGGGAAGGAAGCTGTAGTAGCGTATGCGAGTCGTCTTCTCACTAATCAGGAGAAGAACTACTCTACGACCGAGAAAGAGTGCCTGGCACTCGTATGGGCAGCGAAGAAGTTTAGGCCGTACCTTGAAGGTTACCGGTTCGTAGCCGTCACCGATCACGTGGCTCTCAAATGGTTGTTACGACATCCCGAGCCAACCGGACGGCTAGCGCGCTGGATAATGGAGTTACAGCAACACGACTTTGAAGTTAAGTACCGCAAAGGGACCCTTAACCGTGTTGCTGATGCCTTATCCCGTCAACCGAACGTCCCGGTAACCCCCGACGTGAACGTCACGTCAGCCGAAGGTCGAGGCGGTACGGAAGCCTCTAGCGACGCCGCACCCTCTTCACGTGACGACTGGGTAGCCGTCCTGTCGAGTAAAGTTAGGGCGAACCCTACAAAGTACCGGCATTACAACGTTCGAGGGACAAACTTTACAAAACGAAGACCAATAAGAGCAACGGGGAATTGAGCTGGAAGTTATGCGTTCCAGAGGACCTGCAGGCCGAAGTTCTGCGCGAGACCCACGACCTGACGATAGCCGGTCATCTCGGGTCAAGAAAACCTTGGCGCGTGTGAACGAGAGATATTTTTGGCCTGGCTGGAGGAAATCCGTCAAGGCATACGTACGTTCCTGCCGAAAGTGTCAAGCATACAAGGTCCCTCAGGATAAGCCGGCCGGACAGATGTATTACCGTAACCCTAAGGGCCCGTGGCATGTTATTTCCACCGACTTGATGGGCCCGCTGCCTCGTTCGAAGAGCGGAAACACATTTATTCTGGCTTTCCAAGACGTATTTAGCAAGTGGACGGAGATGTGCCCTATCAGATCAGCTACCGCTAAGAACGTAGCGTCCAAGTTTAGGGAGCGAATTCTCCTACGATACGGGTCTCCAGAAGTCTTACTTTGCGATAACGGGGTCCAGTTTGTGTCGAAAGTGTTTAGAGACTTGGCTGAGGATTGGCGCATCGAATTTCGCAACACGGCGCCTTACTCTCCTCAGTCGAACCCCATCGAGCGCCAGAATCGCGTGATCAAGACCATGGTGTCACAGTACGTGGGCGAAGACCATCGCACTTGGGACACGCATCTGCCTGAGTTCCAGTTCGCGTTGAACTCCGCGATTCATGACTCAACGGGTTACTCTCCGGCGGTCCTATTACTGGGCAGACGGCTGCGCCCACCGCGAGCCCTGGCAGATTCCCACCTAGGTCTAGCCGAAGCGTCCGTCGACGAGTCGTTGGAGGATATCCACGACCAGCGTCAAGCGCGGTTCCGCCATATCTACGACAAATGCCGTAAGAATCTGGAGGCTGCTTTCCGGCGACAGGCCAACTACTACAACCTACGACGCAGGCCCGCAAATTTTAACGTAGGTGACGTGGTGCTACGCAGAATGCGCACGCTCTCCTCGGCCGCTGATTCCGTCGTAGGCAAGTTGGCACCGAAATTCCGAGGGCCATGTACAATACGAGGGCGTATTGGGGCGAATCTATACTCCGTTTCCGACCCCTCGAGCCGTGCATACGTGACAGTACATGCGAAGGATCTAAAGCCGTTCGTCGAGCGCTAGCACGCGAAATACGAGAGCGACGCGCGAGGTGGCTTACTGGTGGGTCCACGGACATTTGATTACCGTTCGCCACTCGTGCCGGCATGCGCCGCGTGTCACGATATGAAGGTAGAGCGCGCGATACTTTAAGGTTACTATGTGTTTCCCTTCCTTAGGTGGGTCATGTGGTGGCGGGTGCAGTTCATTAGCTTAGAGTTGACGATGCATGTTTGCTTTCAGGTTGAGATCACCCGCTATCACTTTAGACTGCTTCTGCCTTTTTAGCTAGTGCACGATAAGCTTGATTTTCTCCGCTGTAGTAATTGCATGCTTTCCGCTTTCTATTGACACACAATTTTCTGATTTTTCTTACCCGACCCCGACACCGTTCACCCTTCACCGTCATCGTTCTCCCGTTCCATCGTTCTCCGTTTTGTACACGAATTTCCCGCTTGAACCATGTACGCATTCGCCCTACGTCCGAACATCCCAGTCGCCACGGATGAGTTGACGACCCTCTACCCAAACGAGCTGATCTCGGAGGGGGGTTATCGATGCGTTCCTCCGCATCGTTGAGCGGCGCAGCACGCTATTCGGCATGGCCTCCGTTTTCGCGTTGCGAGTCCGGTTCCGTGCTGCCTTTTTGGGTGGGGGCTATGACGCCGTTCAGAATGAACTGGACGAACCGATCTTTTTTGCCGCGACATCGTCCTGGTTCCGCTTTTGTTGACTCACATCAGCGACGTTGGTCATTGGTCGCTGATTATCGCCCGGCCCAAAGATAGACTCATCCTGGCCTACGATTCGGCCGACACAAACTCGATGGCGAGATGCGCTGGGTCCTGGAGTTATTCCGGACTCATGCTCATGACCACCAGCGTGAGTTCGTGTCGACCGAATGGCGTCTGTTAGGGACACCCGAATCGCTTCCCCGCCAGATAGACGACAATTCTTGCGGGATCTACGTTTGCGTTTTCTCGGATTGGGTGGCCCGTGGTCGGAACTTCAACCGTAGTTTTTGCCCACTCGTTGCCGGAAGACCGTTTTCCGGGTCCTCATCCGTCAGCGGTTCGACAATGAAGACTACGGGATGTTGGAGCCAGAAGACCCCAGGAGGGACAACCGGTTCGCCGGCACGCCACCGCCCGTCCAGCCACCCGGATTGTTTTGAGTTCTCCAAAGGACGACGTGGTCCTCGGTCCCTTCACCGACCACGACCCGCTGCTCCAGGAGCTAGAAGAGGCTATTAACGCGCCATCGTGGACGACCGTCTCACCTTTCTTTCCCCCACTGGTGAAAACCGTGGGTGGAGAGGATGCAGGCCTCGTCAGGGTACCGGGACCAGCCACACCATCTGAGGCAACCGCCGGACCCTCCGCCCCGAGGGAGGGGGAAGAGTCATTAACCCAGCCGACAGAGTTCGCCGAAGCGTCTGTAGCAGCTGACGACGACGTTATAATCCTGGACACATCCGACTTGGAAGGCGAGGAGGAAGAGGAACCACCCCGTCGACCCGCGGTTGCAACGGCCGCGCTGGTGGAGGTATCCCCAGCCGACCGTCGCAATGCTCCCGCCGATGCACGTCACGCCCTGATCGCCACCGCGTCGACTAGCCGGCCAGTGCCACGGGAGGTACGCGCCCTCCTGTCCAACTTGCCGTTGGAAGACACGGGGCGGCGCAGGAAGAACCAAAGGATGAAGGTCTTCAGGGAAGACGGTACGTTTTTCCGGGTCCGAACGAAGAAGCTGCGGACAATGAAGGACATCTATTGAGGCGAACGCGCCCATTTAAAGAAGAGTTTTTAGTTTCCGTTTTCTTTGTTTTCGCTCAAGTAGAGCTTCGCGACAGATGTCGTTAATACCCTAAGTTTGGGTATTCTTTTTTTCTTTTTTTTCGTTTTTCTTTTTTTCTCTGCGAGGTAAGAAGGGGGTGTAACGACCCAAAAGCCGTCAAGGGGATAAAAGCCGTTTTTAAGTTTTATTTAGAAGTATTAGTTTTCGTTCGGGGTAAACCGCGCCCGCGTTGACAACGGCATCGAAGGAGCAGGCCTACGTCATCGTAGTGGGGAGGAAATTAGTTAGCTACCCTGCCGCCAGGAGCGATGGGGAAGAAGGGCCAGAGGAGCCGACCTCGAGTTCAGTTGTCTACCGGCTTCAGATTGATAAGGACGTCGCTGTTTGGAGCAATCCAACAATTAGCAAAGACCCGAGTCATCCTGGTGAGTTAAATAAAGTTTTCCCCTTGGTGGTGGAGCCCTTAACTATTGTGTGCTACCGTTATAGGATTCCGTTTATTTTTAGTTGTAGAGAAGTTTTAATTTTTATTTTAATTGTGCCGCAAAAGCGCGCTGCGCGCGACTTGCACGCTTTTTCCCGCCGTCAGCACACATACCCTCGGCTCTTACTCGCCACGAAATTTATTCAAATCACCCGAGTAATATCCGTAGGGATTATCCCGTTACCCCGAGCCGTCTTACGTAAATTTTGGTTTAAGAAACCCCGTACCGACTCTGGTGATCGACCGAGTCTAATTTTCCCGACAAGTTTACTTTGGTGATTACCAAGTATAACGACCGAATCACGTTTTAGTTCAGTTTCTAATTAACTAGGCTTATTCGCATTTCGATAGGTTATTCAAAATTCTAAATTTAACTTTACATATTTTTCGAGTGGCTATGATGAGCACTTGTTGAAGGTAAGCTTAACATTGTAAGCATTATTGTTGTAATTAATATTCTGAGCCAATAAACTCGAAACGATAATTAATTAACGAACACGTTAGAGTCCTGGACTATCTCATAGTAGGCTAAGCTATCTGGACAAATTTAAGGTGTGACAGAATTTCAGGTGAGACGACAATTACGTACTTTAAAATCTCAATTTTGTCTCTCAACCCGAAATTTCGTCATAACACACCAACAAGGATAAAGCCCTTATTTGATAGTCTAGTATTGACACAGTAAATAAAATAAAAATACAATTTATTCTACAGAAAACAATCGCATAAAGTATTGGGTGCTGTTGATAACAAATACATAACCTCTAATCGCAAATCGCAATTAGTAAATTAAAGCAATAACAATATGGCGTTGACTCAAAAAGAGCAATTTTTGCCGAAAGATGAAGAAGAAAGTGCAGTCAACCGTCCACTCAACAGCTATAGGTGGTGAGTAGTTTTGGTTGGATAAGTCAACTATCAATCGTTTGAAAAATACAAAACGATTGGAAAGTGAGTGACTCAACACTCAACTCAACAGTCAACCATTTCATAGTTGAAATAGGGCCCCAGGCCTAGAGGGTTGCGGCAGTTTGATATAGTCTTTGTTGATTTGCAGGATTTGAACCAACAACATGAGGGACAGAAACCCTAAGGTGACTTACATTCTTATCCTTGATAGGTCGACGGCCGCCCATGTTCCTTCGTGTCGTGGTGGGGATGGAGCTAGGTGGGGTGATGGACAGAGTGCTGTCGTTGCTGGAGTGAGAGTCTCCTATGACAGTGCTGCCCCCACCCCAGCTCTTGCGATCTATTAGACTCATGAACAAGCCAGAACCTGCAACCCACATTTCATCTTTTAAAACACTATTCTACTCAAACTAATAGTCTCTTCTACTTAGAATATAAGACACACTACAACACATGTTTTTTAGTTGGGACACATAAGCCTCCATCCTCTATGGTTCTTGTGCCATTTAATTCATATACACAACATTTGTCTGTTTTTTAATATATAATACTGAACTAATAAGTAAACAATTGAAACATAGTTCAAAGGGTTTAAAACTATTCCACATTATAAGAACTTACTGTAACTTCTCTTGATGCAATGTAATAAAGCAAGATAATCAGCCTAGGTAACAATAATACATTCTTTCTTTTGTAGGAGGAGTACTTCAGAGCATTGTGGCGGGTGTTCCCATAATACAATGCCATAGGAGATATGGCTATATAAAAGTGTGTGGTAGATATTAATCAAATATCTCTGAGTAACAACATCTTTAGCTTCCTCAACAGACAAATCACTCTTGACACCTTGGTCACAGACCTGCAGGACATGGTCATTCCATGTTAGTTTAGAGTCCAGCCAGAAAACCAAAAGCTGTGGTAGACATTAATCAAAATATCTCTGAGTAACAACATCTTTTAGCTTCCTCAACAGACAAATCACTCTTGACACCTTGGTCACAGACCTGCAGGACATGGTCATTCCATGTTAGTTTAGAGTCCAGCCAGAAACCCAAAAGCTGTGGTAGACATTAATCTTCTCACATTGCAAACGCAAAGATCGAGTATAACTGCAATAAGCATTTTATACTTATATGCCAACCCCGTACAAAGGACGGGTACTCTGCTAGTATATATATATATATATACATACATACATAGTTCTTCTTTTATAGATATAGATGTTTTTTTTTTATTGAAATTTTGATAGCTTAGTATAAAATAAACAAAATTGCCCAATTTGATTCAAGTATATCCATAAACAGTTTGCTTGTTTATTTATTGTCCATAAGAATAACATGGGCATACAACAACGCTTCAATATACAAAATTATTTCTTTTTAAGCTCTACTAAATTATTTGGAGAGAAATTATTAAATTATGTGTTTTTAGGGTCAATAATGGGAAAAATCTATTTTTACCCCATAAACTCCCCCCCCCCCCCAACATAAACCCCCGTTCCCATACGGTAACAAAAACTCATTAATGTCATAATCACTTAAATCAAAAGTTTTAGTGGTATTTGGCTTGGTCCAGTGATCATTTAATGTGATGTGTTCTCACCGTGAGTGACAGGCTGAACCACAGGAGGCACAAAGCCAGCCTGGTTCTGATGAGTCTCCTCCTGGCACTGCAGGTCGATGAACGTCTGTTCAATGTTGCGAAGTGTCGTCGGTGTTAATGTCGATGTTGTACGAGTAGGAACCCCTGTCAATCCGTCCAACTGCAACACAAATTGTTTAATTAGTTGAGACGCCACTTCTACCTCAACAGTTAGTACTTTTAAACAAAATACATACCGTATTAGGATGAGTGCAATAGTGAATGACCGTTTAGGCTTTACATTGTATCCAACATGGGAAAGTAGGCTTTATCTAAGCTTGTTTACTGTGAAACATGTGTAATATATTGCAGTTTCCATCAATAATCAACGAACCATGATAGATACAACCAACTTTGTTTGTACCAGACGGAGATGCTTTGGTGGGAGGCTTGAAGATGAACTGGTTGGAACACTCATCTTTATTATTGTTACAAAAGGATGAATGGTAATAAGTAAACTGTTGTAGCTAACTTTGTTTGACACGTTCGCTGCCGCAATAGTACTAAATTTTTCATTCATAACCAGCGACGCACATATGCGATGGCCGGTTTGTAGCCTACCCGTAGACTGCAGTCACGTTAAAACAGACTGACGTAGCATATTTGTGTCGGTGTCATATGTTATTCAAAAGCTTATATCTTCATAATGGTCTATTTGAAGACCCTGAATTTTCTGCAGTGGTCTACAGGGATGTCTGTTGCATATGTGTGTCACTTGGTATGTGGATAAGATGATTAGTGACGTCATGATAGTTGGCAAAACTGTTTATACTTTGCTCCATCACTGGCCCGCGGTCTGCGTGTACTGTTAACCTAGTGACACCCTGTCTATGTGTAATATTAAAATGTATACATCGGCCCGTCACAATGACCAGTGTCAAAAATATGTGGCGGCAATCGGTAGCGAACAAGTTAAGCATATATTGATTAAATTTATTTATTTTATACTAAACTATCTGCTTTACCCAAGTTTAATTTAGTAATATAACATCGTCTGAGTTTTTTTATTATTAACAATCACTTTTTGAAATGGGTTCCAGTCTAGTGTCTGTGTAGGGCCTATTATCATTAAAAACGTGTTTATAACCTCAGTTATAAGCTAACTACAGGCTTATTTACTGATTAAGTCATAATGGGGCTACTATAGCTTGTTTTACAAGCCTCCTTACACAACAATCCCAAACGAATATGTGTTATTTGCCACCAGTGTCATTTGCCACCACTCTAGGATTTGTGTCATTTGCCACCACTTTATACCTCGCTCGGTGAGTCATCAGCCTCAACCCTAGTCCGTGGGTCATCACCCCTCTAGGCACCGGCCGATGGACCAAGGAATACCTATAATTCACACTATCACCCTCTCTTGCAACATTTGTATGGTAAAAATTCCAACATTCTCTCTAGGAGTAGGGAAATACACGACGGAAATGCTCATTCCTATCTGTGGTTTTGTAGTGTTACGACATAGTTAGTGCTGTTCTCATCAAGTTTTACAAAGTGTTAGTCTAATTTATTTATTTATTTATTCGCTAAAAACGTTCATAATTATTTGCAAATCTATATGAATTAAGCTTTCCAATGACCCACTAACTAATAAATCAGTCCAGTAGAACTCTAGATTTAGTTGTACAAAGATTTTCAAAGTTGAATTATATATAAGTAGATGCATATTGCACAAGAATGACATGACAGTTAAATGAAACTTGAATACAAACTATATATCTAAAGCGGCTAAATAAAAATGTAAACTAATAACGTACTCAATAAAACCACATTCAATCACTTCAATCAACAAATAAATTTAGACGATAGACGGACTTGGTCAACATACATGTTTTTAGTTGCTTATTTTTAAGAAGTTATCAGGCAGAATTTTACACAACATAATACCGACATATGAAGGATTCTTTCCACAGAACTTCAAGATAACTTATGATAACAAAACACAGTTTTTAGATATGTTGTTTATACCATAACTGTTACATGAACCTAACGTCTCAAAGGAATAATGTCAATATATTTTATGATCTTTTTAGAATGTAGATGTAATTTTAAAACATTTATAATTTACTAGGTGAAACCCGTCGAAATCGACGGATACTTTCAAGGCTTAGGTTAATTCATCTAACTGCGATAAATTTGGTGAAATATACATATTTTGAGCATTTAGCATTGTTTAAAAAGTAATAAGTGTAAAAACAATATAGGCTAATGATATTAATTGCGTTAAATGTCAAATTTTGTTGATTATTCAATGAATAAAACATTCCCCATACCGTACGTCATCGGAGTTATTATTAGTATGTTATCTGGTTCTTCCTTTCTTTGGAAGAACCTTTAAATAGTATTAAAATCGTATTGGTGGATCTTTTGTAATTAAACACTTCCGTGATTTCGTCAGTGTAATATGATTTTGATTAAAAAAAAAATATTTTTTGGGAAGACATATTCTAATTTCAAAGGGAGGTATATCCATTACAGTGTAAGTTTGATTTTTCCTTTATCACGTCATGTCAGTTCATATCGTAATTCTGTGAAAATGAATGAACCCCCTAGCATAGTTTTGAGAAATTGATTGTGGGGTTACTGTTAAAGCTGTAATTCCTTGACATGGGGGATGTCAGTTTGTTGTTTTAGCCTTATCAAAAACATAAAGTTGTCGATATAATCTCTCTACGGAATGTTAGGTGTAGTGGAATACTTGAAGTGAAGTTGGATTTTATTCTTGAACTGTTAGGGGCCTCCTAGTTCATACGGCCTTGCGGCTTTCAATGGCAACAAATAATGCAAATGACATAGCAATGGGACATTTCTAAAAAGCAAAAATACTGTAAATTGGCTGTTACGTATATATTGACGTTTACATGTTGTTAATCAACGTATCTTATAAAGGATTATGTGAACTAGTTTAAAAGGAATATGACCTTTGTGTCATGACAGTAGCTGCTTAAATAGTATTTTCTCTTTGTACCATATTTTACAGCCAAAATGTCTTGTTATTTTCAATAATGTTACCAACCCAGTGCGCCAAAGTCCGTAATATAGGCAGGTGCAAATAATTTGTTAAGATGGGTACCATTTTAGGCAAGGTATCTAGATTCCCCCAATGTTTGGATTTTATTAGACACGATAAGAGCAGATATTTCTACATAAATATTTTATATGTGTAGAATAATATGATAAAATGTAGGCAAAAGTGGTGAATAAGAAAGACACCAACCCGTACAATAGATATAAGATAGTTCAATAAGAAATAATTTAAGAATTGATGTGATAAAAGGATTTTCCACTGATTTCGTAATGGAACGTAATATTGCAAAACATGACATGATAAAGAAGAAAATCAATTTTAAAATCAGAAAATAACATTGCAAATACTTACTTGGTAGAATTCAGTAGATCGCAATAAATGTGTGTTGTTTGAAAGGAGGGTAAACAAGTTTTTTAATGTAAAATATTAAAAGGTACTGTGGTTTAGTAATAAATTAATGTATTTTCCAAATTTGATCAAAATATGTTCATAAACAAGCAAACTACAACAGTTGACTTACTCTCCATAAGAATAACATGGGAATTTTAAAATTACAATTTTTTTGAATTTTCTCCGTAACAATTAGGCGCATAATAACGCTTCAATTATACAAAATTATTTGTTTTTTTAAGCTCTACAAAATGGTTTAAAAAGAAATTGTGAAATTTTGTGTTTTTAGGGTCAAAAATGGGAAAAACCTATTTTTACCCCATAAACCCCCGTTCCCATAGTCCGATCATGCTGGTTCGCGAACTCATTCAAGTTTATCCCGGCTTACACCTTCAAACCAAATTTTATCAAAACCGGACAAAAATTACTCAAGTTATCGTGCGGATGGACACATATATATATATGTATATATAACTCTATATATAGATATATAAAAATTTGAACGAATTGTGTTTTTGGCCTCTGGGGACATCAAAATGAAAAAGTAAATCGGTCCCGGGCTTAGGTCTTACCATGAGACCTACGGTAATAGCTACTTCCCTATAGGGAAATTCGCTAAAATGAACAGCTGTTTTATTAAAAAGTATTATTTACATGGCCAAAATGTAAACAACTCTGTGGAGGGATCTTTAAAGGCTTCTGGGACAGAGTCTTAAGGGATTTTCCTTAGTTTTATTTTTCATAACTCATCTACAGACCAAGACCTTTCTTTGGACACCTCTACCAAGTTTCTACGCCCAGCCGTTCTCTCAAATTAGTGGGGACAAAGTTTCCAATTAAATATTTAGATTCCCCCATGTTAATCTTATGGGAGAAACTCCAACTTTGATGGCCTGTGGGGCAAAGCCCGGGGATTTTTATTACAGGAATTGGTGAAAGGGGGCGTCTACACAAAAAATACTCTATTTTGACACGTCGTTTGTAAAAATCCGTCCAATATTAACGGAGGAGTAGTGTTTCGTAGAAATCGCCTTCACGTATTATATATATAAGGATTCTTTGCACTTTTTCTCCAAACTTACTCGTTTAGGAGCTATATCATGCTGAATGTAACCAAAAGCTACTTTAATCTAAATTTTACACGCTGTAACTCCTTTACGTAGCTTTGTAGAAAAAATTCAACTGAAAACATTTTTAAAATTACAGTCTAAAATCGTCATAAAATAAAAGGTGTCCGATAAGACATTTTTAAGTTAAATATTGAAAATATCAGGCTTTAAAGGAAGAGAATTAATGTTTTTAAATGTCATAAAATAGTAGTTGAAATTCCCATATAATGTTTTCTCTAAATCGAATAGTTTCTGAGATTGCAAAGGTGGTGCATTTAAGTTCTTCACCCAGTATATTCGCAGAATACTAAACACCGAAACTGCGTCTTTTCAAGTATTTTAATGGGATTTAATATCATTGATGCACTGTATACTGTGCCAAATGTTATTTTTGTATTATTCACAGTTGTAACTGGAGTTATAAACATTTATTTAATATCCAAAAAATATATAAGTACATCTACATGGTTATGACTCATAGGAACGGCCACGGCGGGAATTCCAGGAACTGACCCTACTGGTGGCAAATGACACTGGTGGCAAATAGTAGGACACCATCCCAAACGGGGCGCCCTTACTGCGCCAGAGGGT